ACATGTATAATATTTTATATATATATATATATATATCTTCACAATCATTTTCATTCTCATATATGTTTATATATATACATATATATATATATATATATATATATATGGAACAAGAGTGAGCTCTGACGACTTATATTGTACCGATTTTTATAGCGATGAAGCGGGTGACAAGACCTTTGTGGTAGCCCTATATGAGTTCAAGGCTGAGAGTGATCGGGAACTGGATCTGGTTAAAGGTGACAAAATTGAATTGCTCGAAATTCTGGATTCGAGTTGGATGGAAGGACGTCTCAACGGAAAGGTATGTTTAGTCTCTGTGAATTTATACCTCTGTGAAGTACTTTAAGTAGCTCTTGTGTGTATGCGTTTATGAAGATGAGGTTGTTCATATTTCTTTGTCTATTTTTTTCAATGTATCTCGTCTTCTCCTTTTTGCCCACATGTACAGGTCGGAGTATTCCCAGTGGGCTATGTCACATACTGTTGATTCAGGAATAGTAATAAAACAAAATTATATACACCTTGGAGAGCTGGTCTGTTCAAAGCGTTCTCGACGATTCCATTGGTACTGCGCCCGAAAGCCTTGGACATGTTGTACAAGAGAGTAATGAAAGTAGTTATGGGATGTTACAATCTATCTACCGCTGGTAGCATATTCTTTGATGCATCCAAATATTCCTGCACAGTGAGTATCCAGGTCCGTGGTATTAATATTGACAAGAAACAAATTTGTATAGTGAAAACGACTGCCGTAGATAACCACGTAGCGGGTTTTAGAAATGAATGAGACAATCGCTTGAACAGTGAAATCGATGATCTGAACTGTAGTAAATGATTGCGTTGTTTGGTAGTTCCAAGAGCAGACAGGTGGTGGACTCAGTAAATATTCTTCGTCGAACCCGGATCGAAGTGATACTGTTTATTCCGCTATAATATTTTTGACTACTGAATACAGTGTACATGTTTTACATACTTCTTTCTTCTTCTTTTTTTTCAAAAACAAAAAACAAATATGACCACAGTAATTCTAACATGTACTTTGCAATTTTAAGTCTTATATAGAACAACACCTATTTTCCAATATTGAGATCTCAGATCAGCAAACAGATGACAGATCTCTTAGAATGGTAATTATTAAGAGCAATACTGACATACCTTTAAAAAACTGTCCTTCACCCCGAGTCCCAAGAGAGGAGTCGAAACTCGATACAGTCGAGGACTTCTTTAAGAAAAAGTAGTCCTGTGTTTTTGTGTGCTTTTGTTCAAACACATTGTCGCCAGTCGCCAACTCGCCACTTCACATTTTGTTTTTGTTATATTTGTTTTAAAACAAAATCAAAGAAATCACACTGACAAAACTTCAAAAGTGACGCCAGTCGCCAGTCGCTTGGTCGTCATTTTATATTGTTTTTTATCGTTTTGTTTTTAACAAAACAAATACAAATATATTGTTCGTAATTTAGGAGGCTACATATGCTTTTATTTATTTGTTTTTTTAAAGAAAAGATCTAAAACAAGCAACAAAAAAAAAGTTACCAATTTTATTCATAGCCTTTGTACTATTAATTTATTTATTTTAAAACACCATTTTGTGTTACATATTTTCATAGCCTTCTAAATTAAAAACATGCTATCATTTATGTGTGTATTATATTTATTTACTTTTTTTTGTCAAAGTATGTGTGTCACTTTGCATAGTCTTCTACACTTTGACATTATTTACTAATTTAGTGATTGCGTTTTTTTTAGTCTCACAAGTGAGGACTGCTGAGTGCCGCTCTGAGACTCTCTCTGAGAGTGCGCACGTGAAGTTGTGACTGTGAACTTGTGGAGTTGTGAACATGTCGGAAATGTTTTAAACCTGCAATACTTTCCGACATGTCGAAATCCGAAGACAGACCAGGAGGCGGCAGGGGCAGGTGAACTGAGAACTGAAGCTAGAACTTAAAAAGCCACAAAATGAATCTTGGTTCTTTTGTCGATATGTTTTACTCAATCTTGACGATATGTATTATTTATTGGTTATCGGTCAGTGATGAGAGTAGTTTTTGATGGTTCATAAATCATGAATACTGACTCATGAGTGATGAGTCGTGTTTCGTCGTTTAGTCTCGTGTCTGAAAGTACTGAATCTCCCGTGTTTTATAAAATATTTCAAAAGAGTCTGATGAGAGCAAACGATACTCTTTACTTTACTCTAAATAGTTTTTACTTATCCTTATTCCTTGCACGTTGCATAAATGAGAAAGCAGAATGCAGACCTGCAGAGTGCAGACTTCTTGTTGCAGAGCACTGTGCAGGATTGCTTGCCGAGTTGCCGGTCCCTTTTCTATTCAGTATTCAACCTCATTTATTTGTTTGTTTATTTTCATAGCGGGCAGCAGTAGGCCAGTGGTTTACTGGGTGGGACAAGGGATTAAATAGGAATGCTGGGTGCCTGAGTGGTGAACCTGCGCCCTAAGGCCTGAGACCCTGATGAGACCTGAGGCCCTGAACCTCGATTTTTTACCACAAAAATTGAAAAAGATATAATTTTTCTACAAAATATGTCTCTATATTCGTTTCCTTTTTGAACAAAATAAACAATCTCCATAAAAAATCGACTATTTATGTTACAAAACAAACGAGATATTAGATGTGCGGTGGACGGTGGACCGGAAGTTAGTTTGTTTTTTTAAATGAGAGACCTCATTGTTTTTAAAAAGAACAAAAACGTGGAAAAAAAATGTTCTTTTTTTTCTTTTCAGACACCAACTCTTTTTGTGAATTTATAAATTATAAACAAATATGTATATATATGATATATATCTTTTCGAGAAGGCTATATTTAATATTTTACATATATTACAATTATTCTTTACTATATATAGTAGTATAAAAGTTTTTCGGTACTATGCGGCCGTGCCTAGTCACAGTGCCACAGTCGACACTCACCACTTCACCAGTCCCCCAGTCACCACTCACCCCTGACCCCAGAGGCGCCCCAGTGCCGTGGTGGCGTGGTGCCGAGGTCTCAGGTAAGCGGTGGTCCGTATACATTTCTAGAATTCATGCTCAAAGAGTAAATACGTGGTGTGTAATGTATATTGTACCATGTATGTAATTACTCACATTTCTGCCTCTTTTTTAATTGAAAAATACGAACCCTGCTGGCTGCTGGCCTGCGCCCTGCTGCCCTGCAACGTTTATCGTTTGGCGTTTGCGCTTTTTCATTATTGTGTATTTTATTTTGTTTTTAAAAACAAACAAAATATTTATGGCTTTTTATATAAAATATTAATCAAGTCATGATCTCATGAATATGCTATTTACTCCTCGTTGAATGTTGAGTTGTTGACCCTTGTAGTCCATGTGATGGCCAACTGTCAATTAGCCAAGGACAGGGCCGCCATGGCCGACGCAGTGAATTTTATTTTATTTTTAAACTAAATATCAATAATCAACTGTCAAAAATACCAATTGGGTATGTAAAATTGTAAATATTCACAATTCAGAGGATGGACTCGAGTGATTAGTGACGGGTTAACGGCAGATTCTACTAAATACACTCTCTAGTTGAGAGAGAGAGTACGGACTTGGAACACTCAACTTAGTCTCAACTCTCAACAGTCAACACATGCAATTTAGCCTCTTACCGCTTTTCAATTCACAGTCACATGGTCCTCTGGCCTCGGCCCTCTGTTGGCCTCTGGAAATTGGAGAAGAAAAAATATCACCAAATTATTCCAGAATCCAGAGGTTCGTGAAGAGTCAGTGAGGCACTCACCGAAGCGGAGAAAGATAAAGGCTGCAATGTGTAAATAAATACTCGTGGAGGCAAACAAATTACATATTTTTTAAAAATTCCTCCGGTGACATTGCTGTTGCTTTTTATTCTAACAAAGCAAAAAGTGATATTATCATTTTACAATTGTATGCGCTACCGATTTTGTGTATATTTAAAAGGCAGCATCCTGCGTCAAGCCCTCACAAACATCTAATAATAGCGACTAAATGCACAATATGATCGTGCATCAACTATTTAAAAGCGCTTGTGTAGCGGGGTTTGTCTTAGCACGACCTAGCTTAGAACTCGAAAGACGTAGCGATAACCCTTTAGCTGGGCACGGGTCATTGAGAGTGTTTGACGTAAATAATTTCAATTCTTTATCAACTGGTCAAGCTCCAGATATGTATGATATATTCGCCGCTGAGAAGGATGGGTGTTTCGGTGCCATACGTGATCATTCTCAGTGTACACCCAAGAAAAGAAACCACAACATCATAGCGCAGAATCGAATGAAGACTTCGGAAAATATCATGAAGGTTCCAATCTTAGCTGGGACCTACGCCGGAGATCAAGAGGGATCAGGGTCACAATTTTACACAAACCAATTGGATTCTCTCTGGGGACTACTAGCCGCTACGCTAGAGTATGAAGTTTATTTTGACGACGATTTTGATTTTGCGAAGGGAGGTAAACTTCCAGGTGTGCATGGGGGTGATAGATCGTGTAGTGGTGGCTATAAGGCCAGAGGAAATGATTGTTTCAGTACCAGGCTAATGTGGAGGGAAAATGGCGAGGGTGAGGCATATCTATATCTACCGATGGCCTTACAGAGTGACAACTTTTGCGAAAAATGCTCTGGATATTCAAAAGGCACCACCTGCGACGAGATGACCTATTGCTCTTTAAATCGTGCGTCGTTTTCATTCATCAAAGGTCAATGGAACAAGATCAAGATGCAAGTGTGGATGAACACTGACGGCAACCAGGACGGTTATTGGAACTTATTTCATAATGAAAAACTTGTCATGAATGAGAATTCACTGACATATCGAATCGATGACTCAGTACCATTATCTGGTATGTTTTTCAGCACCTTTTTCGGTGGAGGTAGTTCAGACTATGCCCCCGATTATGACACACACATCGATTTTAAGGGCTTTAGACTCACAGCCGGTATCATCTAAACACGACAGCACAATATCAGGATAGATGTTATCAACTAGAACTTATAATATAAATTGATAAATAAATAATACGAGAATTTGAGAACATTGGGTCCACAATTATTTGGCATATCACATCATTGAAGAGCTAGTACCATTGTCCAGTACAGTATGTAAATCTTTACTTCTGTACCTTTCTTGGTGGATGTAGTATTGTAGTTCAGACTTGTCAGACTGAATATTTACATAACTATAAGACCCCCGATTCCAGCAATACATATTTTTAATATATTGCGACAACCTTTTTGTTTCCAAAAAAGGAACGGGCTGTCGCCTTGTCGTGACTCGCGAGTCTCGCTCCGTGTTTTTTGTTCCAAAAAAGGAACGGAATTGTCGCCTTGTCGTGACTCGCGAGTCTTAAAGATGTATTCAATATTCTTTGATTTACTATTTTTATTTTTGAGGAAGAGCCAAAAGCGAAAAGGCACGCGGGTGGGACTGTGGGAGCACGGCATGGGCAGTCGGGCACTGGGCCCCGCCCGCCCCGCCAGCGGGCGGCGGTGCCAAGTTTTTCGTTTTTATATACATAAATAGATAATCTTAGTATTAGTAGTAGGCTATGTCTCCCCATGTTTTTTAAGCCAAAATTGGGCCAAAATGCCTATCAAAGAGGCTATGTATAGCCAAAAGAATTAAAAAATTGTTTTATTTTGATATTTCCTAAAAAATATAAAAATACAAAATAAGAAACTAAATAGGTAAATACACTTGAGTTGTGTCTAAATACACTTACAGTCTACACTGTACACTGTACACTACAGACTTTGACTGGTTAACAGTTCGTTTTACAAAACAAAACAAAACTAAAAACAAAAACACCACTAAATAAATAATTAACTAATTAATTTTACTCTGCTAAATATAGTTAAAAAAAGTAAATCTATTGCATACCTGAAATTTTACAAGTATATATTAGAAAAAAGAGAAATTTTGAAACCACCATAAATACAGCCACCGACACACGCCACCTACCCACCACTATTAGTGCAAACTACATTTCCCACCTACTCATACTTGGGGTTCACACTTATTATAAATATAAGGCCGAGTCTTAACGGGATCGGAAATTGCGTTAGGATATGAAATTCGGATTTCTTAGCCAATGGGTAGAAGAGGATTTTATAATTTCAAGAAAATTTCGAGAAAAATATTATTTCCGAACGAGGACATACTTTCGAGGGCTTGTATACCCCTAGAAAAGTGGGCAGTTCGTTCGGAAATACGGGAATAGGAAAATATGTACGTAAATTCGCTATTGCAGCTAATAAATGTACTTTGGAAAGGTGCTTTTCCAAAGTTACAAGTAATTAATTATTGGTTGTGAGAGCAATGTGCGTTTGGAAAGGCCTGTTTTGCCAACTTATTAAAATTCTGAAAATTAATTTTCGGGTGGAGTAAAACACCTTACTCCAGTAACTAAATGTTGTATTTCATATCCTCGTGTTGAAATTGTGTGATGAATTTGAAATTTTGGAAAATTATCACGACATTTTTTATTCCAGAATTTCTGCAAATTGTCTCATTTGCCAACTTCAAAATATAAAGTTTGACCTCAAAAAATTGTACTCAGAATTTAAAATCCAACTATTTCTTCCTCGAAGTGAAAAGCAAGGTCAACCCTCATTCTCACTTTGAAAGAAAAATTGTCTGTTCTATTTCCGATCTTTACGTAGACAAAAAAATCTTCAAAACACGCACAACAGAAAACACAAAACTACATTGTGCGGGTCGTATATTGTAAATGTGTTATGTGTCCATATGAAGGATGTTTAGGATCGTGTGCCGAGTGCAGTACTTTGATTCGCAAGCAGCGCAGTGCGCAGATGCTTGCAGATACAACTATGATGATGGATGATACATCAAATATTTTGTACGCATTGAGCGACCTAATATTATAGATGTATCACAAATTCGTTCCATGAGGGCATCGAACAGAACCCAAACCACATTAGGGGTCTAGAAGATTTAGAGGACGTGATGAATAGTGCAAACGCTCGCGTACACAGACAATGCTTTCGTATGCCGGTAGAGGTGTTCGAGAAACTAGTCGAAGAGATTAAGGAGGTATACAAGCCGGACGGTAGGACTAATGTAGGAGCACACGAAATGATGTATATGTTTATAATATTCTCAGGTCAATACCTTACACAGAACTATCTAGCAGGATCTTTTGGAAGATCCACACACCTATTTTCAATAAACCCTAAAACCCTTAATTTTGCAGTATATCCTAAGTATGTATCAATGCCCAAGGAATCGGCTCGTGTGCCTAGTAGAATACGTAGTTATGGACGGTTCTGGTCTGACTTCTCTCGTGTAGTAGGCGCTCAAGACGGAACACATATACCAAATGTTGTATAAAAAAAGATTGATAAGGCTCGATATAGGAATAGGGATAATATTATTTATTTCAAAAATGGCAAGTATGTATGATACAATGTATGAACATATGGTATGGCTCTCATAGTCGCTGTAGTGGTTCAGGAAAGATTGATAGGAAGAAGTGGTCAGTACATTCCCGTTTGAAGCTTGGGCCAAGTGAGTCGACAATGGAAGATATGTGCTGAGTCAATTCGGGCCGGTGTTGACAAAACACTGTTACTATCGAATGTTCCATATATTCGCTTGCTGACCTACTAAGTAGAGTATCCACCTCTGTGTAACGGATCGGGTCTGCGCCGTGTAGTGCCGCGGAATGGGTTAGTGCAGAGTACGAAATACCGAGGAGGACCAGGTTATCCGTCATAATCCGGTCGAGAAGCGAGGATGGGGGTAAGCCAATGCCGCACCAGACCACGGATGAATTCAGTATGTGTTGGCTGGCCTGGATCGAAAGTATCATAGTCGGAACCAAAAAGCGCGATGATTTGGTTTGAACCGATATTTGGAAGCAGTACTTCAACAGCGTGATTAGCCGGGGTATGGGGAGCATCTGTTGATGTGTCAGGGACGGGTGAGGGTACGGCGGTTCTTCAAGATGCTGGAGAAAAGATCGAAGGTGTTCGTGGAGGGTCCAGATACTGTGGAAGTCGTGGCACTCCTGTAATTGCTGAAGGAGGTCAGGGCCAATGGGCGGCAGTTTCGGGCCTACCAGGATGCGTCGAATCAGTTGTTGGATGCAGGTAAAGTGGCTGGTAGTGAACTTGTGGCTAGCGGGGCAGACAGGGCAGAGACAGCCGTCGGTGCGGTAGTCGAGCAATGTAAGCGGGTACGTATTCGTTACAATACCTTCTCATTTACTTAAAAATAGTATTACCAACTGAAAAGGCACTCGTAGTTTAGCTGTGAAGGGACAGCTCCTGTTAAGAGAGAAAAGTGGTGGAGACTTCTCTTTTCAAACCCTAAAGCTATTCACCTCTTACTCTATTCACACATAAGGCAAGGCATAGAATCCTACACTGATACCTCTTATAGCACAGAGCC